AATGTGTTGTCTGAATTTCTTTAGTTCTGAGAAATTAAGTTCAGTGATTTGTTTACATTATACTATCTATCCAAAATATGTGGTCTTACAAAAATAATGTTCCAAATTCTTTTAAACAAAAAACATTTTGTTTAAGTTCCAGGCCTTGGGTTTGTTTACATTATAATTTCTGTCTATGTTTCTGAGATGAGGTATTGTAATTATTTACATTGTTCAGACTGTTGTCCTCATCTTTATTGCCATATTCACAATGTTTTGGTCATTGTATGTGCCAGCTTCTTCAGGTGATTGGAATTTTGAACTGAACTCCACTGGGTTAAATTGTTCTGGTTACTGAGACAATAAGTTTATAAGTCCCAAAAATTCATACACTGATGTCCCCAAAGACACATGGCCTATTGGTTGGATCCAATGATTTGACCTGACCACTGCAATAGTGAACAAAAACTTGGAGAGTTGAGTTGAAGGGAGATAACTGGCATGTGGAACTAGAATAATCTAGCCTGGTGAATGAAATAAAGTGTTCAGTTTGAAATTCCAATCACCTGAAGAAGTCTGGAACATATATCGGGTGAAGCATTGTGAATAGGGCACAAAGATGAAGAAAACTGTCTGAATAATGTAAAGAATTATAATTTCTGTCTAAAACATGTGTGTTCTTACAAATTATTCTAGACAAAGATTAAATTTTTATTTTGTGATAACATGTTTCTTTTTAAGTATTTCACGTCAAGCAAGGTGGGAGTGCCACTAGTACACAAGGGGTGGAAGTAAGAGAAAAGACTGGGTGTAGTTGAGTGAGAAAAGGATAAAAAGAATGGAGATCAAGGCGTCAGAAGATGTTGCTTGACATTACATTTAAATTTTTGAAGATTATAGTTATCAAGAAAGCAATATGAGGAAGGGAGTTCCACTGTTGAGATGTGTGAGAGAAGAATCTGTTGGAGTAGAAAAGGTGGCTACATTTAACTGTTTCAACAGTAAAAGTGTGGAACCAAGATGCCAACCTAGTAGTACACTTAAATTCATGCAGGCGGGGCACCAGTGAAAATAGCTCATCAGAGCAGATGCCATGAAAATATTTGTAGAAAAGACAGAGAAAAACCACATCATGTCAGTGAAAAATTGACTGGAATTGAGATGTCGTCATGACAGATTACATTGCATATCCATCCTTGGATTTTGTCAAGAACCTCGAGATGAACAGCTGGGATATCAGACCATATATGGCAACAGTATTCAATGCATGGATGAATGGTAGATTTGTAGATGTGAAGGATGGATTCAGACAAGAAAAAGCTCCTGGAATGACACAGAAAACCAAATTTCCTTGCAGTAGATGCAGCTATTGATTCAATGTAGTTGTTCCACCTCAACCATGCTGATAGAAGGCAGGGAAGTTTCTCTATGGTGAGTAAATGAGAGCAGTTTCATTTTGGAGGCATTTACAAGCTATTGCCCCAGTCAACCACAGATCGGAGGTCCTTTTTGAGAACAGGTTAACTTTGTCAGCAATGCCAGATTTACAATTGAGACAGGAGTAAATGGTAAGTGTTGTATGCATAGATGCCTACTTGAGAACTGAGGAAGATCAGAAACAGCATAGGACCCAGGTTATCTTTACAGGAAGATATCTAGATAGATGTTTGACAAAGAGTGTATGCAGTTAATTATCAAAATCTCCTAAAAACTTAAAATGGTTGGGGTATATCAATGTCAAATTTGCGGGGAGTCATCTATATAAGCAAGATCTCCTCAGACACAGAGACATTTGAAGAAGTCAGCTTGGAGTGACCTGGTTTTGCTCATAAGACAGTCATTGCTAAAAAAAACACCCACAATTCCATGGACCAAAGTGAAAACAGAGACACACATGAGAAAGTGATGATTGACTAGTTATTATGAAGAATTGATACAGTCAAAGGGTTAGTTTAGTGTTTGTGACAAGATTTCCCAAATCAACATCCTGTAATTGAGAACTTGATTTTACAGTAGATAATAAAATTTTATTCAACCAGTTTTTCTTTCTATTTAATAAACCTGTTGATAGAGTTATCAATAGTGCTGTGCATTTTATTGAAGGAATTCCATTTTCAGCTTCATTCAAAAGTTTCACTGGGATGTAAAGAAACAAAAGTTACCATGGCCATAAGTTGAGAAATATTCATTGTTAACTACACAATGTACACGGAGAAATTGATACTAGACCTTACCATCAATCCCAACATTGAAAAATTGGGAAATCTGAATCCCCCCTCTAGATGACACACTGGCCTCAATTGAGAAGGTAAAAAGAAAGCTGGATGACCATTTCAACATATCAATATAGACATCAGTAATATTTACAGTATATTTTGAATTTTATTAAAAATTAAAATTTTGATAAATTTAAAATTTATTAAAATTTAAAAAATCAGCAACATTTTGACCATATTTTGAGTTTTTTTTTATGAAATCTTTCAGCCTATTTTGTTTTTTATTTAAAATGTAATAGTATGCAACATTTTCAGCATATTATGCACTTTTGTTGTATCAGTACAATTTTAGAGACTTGTGGCATTTAATTTGAAAATTTGAAAATCTAATATTTGGGACATATTCTGTTTTCTTATTTTCCCTTTTCTTGTTTAAATATGTAAAAATCAACATTATTCTTATTGCATTTTCCATTTTTATTGTATAAATATGCATCATTTTTCATGTTTGATCTTGCTATATAAAAAGTGTAAAAATCAGCATCATTTTGAGTATAATCTGTTTTGATATAAAATGCGAAAATCAGCAATATTTTCAGCATATTAGATGTTTTTCATGAAAAATAAAAATCAGTAACATTTTCAGAATATTTTGATTCTTTTATTTAAAAATGTTCAAATCAACAACTCATATGTACCTTATTTTGATTTTTGTTAAAAATGCAAAATCATCAATTTTCCATCATATTTTGATTTCTTTATTTTAAATTTTAATACTATGATATTAGTCATAGTATTTTTTGACTATTGTATGTAAAAAAGAGGAAATCACCAGCAAAATTTTTCACTTGTTTGTGAGAATCATTTATTTATCAGAATCAATAACATTTTCCAGGTATTTGTAATTTTTAAAATTATTTATCGATTTTATCTATATTTATCTGCAACATATTTGGTCTTTTTGTTTCAAAATGGAAAAATGGGCAACATTGTCAACATATAACCACAATATCAGCAAGATTAACAAAATGGTTAAAAAAATCACTGCAATACATAGAGAAATTTATGTATTTGCTTAAAATTGTTTTGACATTAATTGAAAGATGTCAGAAGGTAAATAGGTGAAGCGATAAAGCAATAAAACTAAAAAAATTAAATTTAATTAACACATCAAAAAGCTCAGATAGCCAAAATTCATAGTGTAAGGGGAGTAACTCAGATTGCAGAACTAAGAGCTTTTCTCCCATGGAAATGTATTATTTGACAACTGTGCTGTCACCAATTTACACTTTCTAAACATACATATAAATTGAAATTCATCATGAAAAGCATGAACAGTCAGGATATCAAATATTTTAAAAGTATAAATTTTATAAAAAAAATGAATAAATTTAATAAAAATCATTTTTAAAGTCACATGTTTTGGGGCATTTTCTGATAAATATCAGATTCCTTGATTTTATTCAACTTCAGTTTTGGTAATATTTCATTGTATTAAAAGAAAGTTTCAAATTATTATTTTGTGACAATAAACAGAACATTAAATGCAACATATTTTATTCGCTCATTGAAAAATAAAATATAAAAGGGCTGTTGCAGAGTTATGATTTTTGATTCAAAGAATTATTATCAGAAGGCATTTGTTAATATGATTAATTAGAGTTCATTAGTCTGTGTGAAGAAAACTCTACAAACACTTAAATTTTGTTGTCTGTTTGCCACAAGGTCAATCATTTTTTCTTTTAAAAATGACAAAAGGATTCCTTTTGTATGTTAGAAAGAGATATTTGAATTTATATACAGAAATGTACAATTGGGTTTTGTGCTGAAATAAAATTCAAAGGGAGTATCCTTTGAAACCTTTTATGTTTTTGTTTTTTTATTGTTTTCTGATAGGAATGTTCACAATTTTTTATTAAAAATATTGTTCATAAATATTTCTATGACAGTGGATATTATAGCAAACCGTCTTTTGGTTGGAAGCATTTCAGTCAATGTAAGATTGGATTTTCACTTCCTTATAAACTTTTTTTGTCAAATTCCTACTTTTTTGAATTTAGCTCTTCTTTGTAAAACTTTCATCCAATTTTATTTCAAATTTCCATCTTTTTTTCTATTTACCTTTAACTGAGTTTAATGTTTCTTTCTTCCACTGTATTTTCACTTCCTTAAAAATTTTCCATGTCAAATTCAATACTTTCTGAGAGCTCTTCTTTGTATTCTTTCATCCAAATAAAAAATCAAATAGAATCTTTTTCTTTTTTAAATATGTTTAATGTATTTTTCTTCCACTGTATTTTCACTTCCTTATAAACTTTTTTTAGTCCACTGTCAAATTCCTACTTTTTCTACTTATGTCTTCTTTGTATTCTTTCATCCAAAATCAAATCCATCTTTCCTATTTAGGTGTTTAATGTATTCTTTCTTCCACTGTATTTTCACTTCCTTATAAACTTTTTCCACTGTCAAATTCCTACTTTCTACTTAGCTCTTCTTTGTTTTTCATCCAAAAAAATCCATCTTTCCTATTTTGGTGTTTTAATGTATTCTTTCTTCCACTGTATTTTCACTTCCTTATAAACTTTTTCCACTGTCAAATTCATACTTTCTACTTAGCTCTTCTTTGTATTCTTTCATCAAAATCAAATCCATCTTTCCTATTTAGGTGTTTAATGTATTCTTTCTTCCATGTATTTTTCTTTCCTTCCACTTTTTCCACTGTCAAATTCATTTTTTCTACAGCTCTTCTTTGTATTCTTTCCCAAAACAAATCCATCTTTCCTTTTGGTGTTTTAACTTTCTTCCATGTATTTTCTTCTTCCTACTTTCTTCTATTTTTTCATCCCTAAATTTTTTTTTGCTCCAAAACTCCTATTTCTTTTCTGTTCTTCTTTATTCTTTCTTCCAAATGTATCTTTCCTATTTTGGTCCTTAATAATCTTTCTTCCATGTATTTTCAATTCCTTATAAACTTTTCCAGTCAAATCCCTATTTCTCTTCTTTTTGTATTCTTTCATCCAAAGTCAAATCCATCTTTCCTATTTTGGTGTTTAATGTATTCTTTCTTCCACTGTATTTTTCACTTCCTTATAAAATTTTTCCAAAAATTCCTACTTTCTACTTAAAATCTTCTTTGTAATCTTTCATCCAAAATCAAATCCATCTTTCCTATTTTGATGAGTTTTAATATATTCTTTCTTCCACTGTATTTTCACTTCCTTATAAACTTTTCCACTGTCAAATTCCTAATTTCTGCTTAGCTCTTCTTTGTTTCTTTCATCCAAAAGTCAAATCCATCTTTCCTATTTAATGTTTAATTATTCTTTCTTCCACTGTTTTTCACTTCCCCTTATAAACTTTTTCCACTGTCAAATTCATACTTTCTACTTAGCTCTTCTTTGTATTCTTTCATCCAAAGATAATCTTTTTCTTTTTTGTGTTTAATGTATTCTTTCTTCCACTGTATTTTTCACTTCCTTATAAACTTTTCCAATCTTTTTTTTTCTTTCTTCTGTCAAATTCCCTACTTTCTACTTTAGCTCTTCTTTGTATTCTTTCATCCAAAGTCAAATCCATCTTTCCTATTTAGGTGTTTAATGTATTCTTTCTTCCACTGTATTTTCACTTCCTTATAAACTTTTTCCACTGTCAAATTCCTACTTTCTACTTAGCTCTTCTTTGTATTCTTTCATCCAAAGTCAAATCCATCTTTCCTATTTAGGTGTTTAATGTATTCTTTCTTCCACTGTATTTTCACTTCCTTATAAACTTTTCCACTGTCAAATTCCTACTTTCTACTTAGCTCTTCTTTGTATTCTTTCATCCAAAATCAAATACATCTTTCTCTATTTAGGTGTTTAATGTATTCTTTCTTCCACTGTATTTTTTCACTTCCTTATAATCTTTTCCCACTGTCAAATTCCTACTTTCTTCTACTTAGCTCTTCTTTTTCTTATTCTTTCATCCAAAAGTCAAAACCATCTTTCTTATTTAGGTGTTTAATGTATTCTTTCTTCCACTGTCTTCTCTCTTCCTCATAATCATTCTTCCACTGTCAAATCGCTACTTTCTACTTAGCTCTTCTTTGTATTCTTTCATCCAAAGTCAAATCCATCTTTCCTATTTAGGTGTTTAATGTATTCTTTCTTCCACTGTAAACTTTTCTTCAAATTCATATAAGCTTTTTTCAAAGTCAAAACCATTTTCCTATTTAGGTGTTTAATGTATTCTTTCTTCTTCTTTTTCACTTCCTTCTTTTTTCATCCAATTCAACTTTCCATCTTTTGTATTCTTTCAGGATAGCTCTTCTTTGTATTTTCTTTTCATCCAAAATTCATTTTCAAAAAGTCAAATCCATCTTTTCTATTTAGGTGTTTAATATATTCTTTCTTCCACTGTATTTTTTTATACTTCCTTATAATAATTTTCTTAGCTCTTCTTTGTACTGTCAAATTCCTACTTTCTACTTAGCTCTTCTTTGTATTCTTTCATCCAAACTGTCAAATCCATCTTTTCTATTTTCTTGTTTAATGTATTCTTTCTTCCACTGTATTTTCTTCCTTTTAAACTTTTTTTTCCACTGTCAAATCCCCTCTTTCTACTTATCACTTCTTTGTATTCTTTCATCCAAAGTCAAATCCATCTTTCCTATTTAGGTGTTTAATGTATTCTTTCTTCCACTGTATTTTCACTTCCTTATAAACTTTTCCCACTGTCAAATTCATACTTTCTACTTAGCTCTTCTTTGTATACTTTCATCCAAATTCAAATCCATCTTTCCTATTTAGGTGTTTAATGTATTCTTTCTTCCACTGTATTTTCACTTCCTTATAAACTTTTCCCACTGTCAAATTCCTACTTTCTTTCTTAGCTCTTCTTTTGTATTCTTTCATCCAAAAAAATGATCAATCCATCTTTCCTATTTAGGTGTTTAATGTATTCTTCTTCCACTGTATTTTCACTTCCTTATAAACTTTTTCACTGTCAAATTCCTAATTTCTACTTATCTCTTTTCTTTGTATTCTTTCATCCAAAGGCAAACCCATCTTTTCTATTTATCTGTTCCATTTATTCTTTCTTCCACTGTCTCTTCCTTATTATCTTTTTTCTACTGTCAAATTCCTACTTTCTACTTAAAATCATTCTTTGTATTCTTTCATCCAAAAATAAAATCCATCTTTCCTTATTTAGGTGTTTAATGTATTCTTTCTTCCACTGTATTTTCACTTCCTTATAAACTTTTTTTCCACTGTCAAATTCCTACTTTCTACTTAGCTCTTCTTTGTATTCTTTCATCCAAAACAAAAATCCATCTTTTTCTTATTTAGGTGTTCCATGTATTCTTTCTTCCACTGTCTTTTCACTTCCTTATAATCTTTCTCGCACTCTCTAATCCCTACTTTCTACTTATCCATTATTGTATTCTTTCATCCAAAATCAAAGCCATCTTTCCTATTTTGGTGTTTTAATGTATTCTTTCTTCCACTGTCTTTTCACTTTTCAGAATATAAACTTTTCCACTCTCAAATTCATACTTTCTACTTAGCTCTTCTTTTTGTATTCTTTCATCCAAAATCAAATCCATCTTTCCTATTTAGGTGTTTAATGTATTCTTTCTTCCACTGTATTTTCACTTCCTTATAAACTTTTTCCACTGTCAAATTCCTACTTTCTAAAGCTCTTCTTTGTATTCTTTCATCCAAAATCAAATCCATCTTTCCTATTTAGGTGTTTAATGTATTCTTTCTTCCACTGTATTTTTCACTTCCTTATAAACTTTTTTCCACTGTCAAATTCCTACTTTCTACTTAGCTCTTCTTTGTATTCTTTCATCCAAAATCAAATCCATCTTTCCTATTTAGGTGTTTAATGTATTCTTTCTTCCACTGTATTTTCACTTCCTTATAAACTTTTTCCACTGTCAAATTCCTACTTTCTACTTAGCTCATTCTTTCCTATTTATAATTAATGTATTCTTTCTTCCACTGTTTTTTCATCCAAAATCAAATTCCATCTTTCTTCTTTTTTCTTTCATCCAAATTCTTTAATGTATTCTTTTTAATGTTCCAATGTCTTTTTTTCCACTTCCCATAAACTTTTCCACTGTCAAATTCCTACTTTCTACTTAGCTCTTCTTTGTATTCTTTCATCCAAAATCAAATCCATCTTTCCTATTTAGGTGTTTAATGTATTCTTTCTTCCACTGTTTTTCACTTCCTTATAAACTTTTTCCACTGTCAAATTCCTACTTTCTACTTAGCTCTTCTTTGTATTCTTTCATCCAAAATCAAATCCATCTTTCCTATTTAGTGTTTAATGTTTCTTTTCTTGTATTTTCTTTCTTCCACTGTTTTTTTCCTTATAATCTTTTCCACTCTCAAATTACTTTCTACTTATCTTCTTTGTATTCTTTCATCCAAAATCAAATCCATCTTTCTTATTTCCAAATGTTTAATGTATTCTTTCTTCCACTTTTTTCCACTGTATTTTCATTTTTCCTTCTTTCCTAATATATTTTCCACTTCCTTTTCAATCAAAATTTTGCCCTTCAAATTCCTACTCCTCTTCTTTGTATTCTTTTTCATCCAAAATCAAAGCCATCTTTCTTATTGAGGTGTTCCATGTATTCTTTCTTCCACTGTCTTTTCACTTCCTTATAAACTTTTCCACTGTCAAATTCATTTTTTCTACTTAGCTCTTCTTTGTATTCTTTCATCCAAAACAAAAATTTTCCATCTTTTCCTTATTTAAAGGTGTTTAATGTATTCTTTCTTCCACTGTATTTTCACTTCCTTCGGTTTTCAATGTCAAATTCATACTTTCTACTTAGCTCTTCTTTGTATTCTTTCATCCAAATTCAAATCCATCTTTCTAATCCTTCCACTGTATTTTCACTTTCAAACTTTTTTCCACTGTCAAATTCAAATCTTCTTTGTATTTTCATCCAAATTCAAATCCATCTTTCAGGATTTAGGTGTTCCATGTATTCTTTCTTCCACTGTCTTTTCACTTCCTTATAATCTTTCTCGCACTCTCTAATCCCTACTTTCTACTTATCCATTATTGTATTCTTTCATCCAAAATCAAAGCCATCTTTCTTATTTAGGTGTTCCATGTATTCTTTCTTCCACTGTCTTTTCACTTCCTTATAAACTTTTCCACTGTCAAATTCCTTACTTTCTACTTAGCTCTTCTTTGTATTCTTTCATCCAAAATCAAAGCCATCTTTCTTATTGAGGTGTTCCATGTATTCTTTCTTCCACTGTCTTTTCACTTCCTTATAAACTTTTCCACTGTCAAATTCCCTACTTTCTACTTAGCTCTTCTTTGTATTCTTTCATCCAAAAAAATCCATCTTTCCTATTTTTTCAGTGTGTTTAATGTATTCTTTCTTCCACTGTATTTTCACTTCCTTATAAACTTTTCCACTGTCAAATTCCTACTTTCTACTTAGCTCTTCTTTGTATTCTTTCATCCAAATCAAATCCATCTTTCCTATTTAGGTGTTTAATGTATTCTTTCTTCCACTGTATTTTCACTTCCTTATAAACTTTTTCCACTGTCAAATTCCTACTTTCAAACTTATCTCTTCTTTTAATATTCTTTCATCCAAAATTTCAAAAAACTATCTTTCCTATTTTTTCCACTTTTAATGTATTCTTTCTTCCACTGTCTTTTTCACTTCCTTTTAAACTTTTTTTCCCTTTCTACTTAGCTCTTCTTTGTATTCTTTCATCCAAATCAAATCCATCTTTCCCTATTTTGGTGTTTAATGTATTCTTTCTTCCACTGTATTTTCACTTCCTTATAAACTTTTTCACTGTCAAATTCAGGATTTCTGTGGTTGCTTAGCTCTTCTTTGTATTCTTTCATCCAAAATCAAATCCATCTTTTCCTATTTAGGTGTTTAATGTATTCTTTCTTCCACTGTATTTTCACTTCCTTATAAACTTTTCCCACTGTCAAATTCCTACTTTCTTTCTTAGCTCTTCTTTGTATTCTTTCATCCAAACTCAAAGCCATCTTTCCTATTTAGTGTTTAATGTATTCTTTCTTCCACTTCCTTATTTTTTTTCTGTCAAATTCATACTTTCTACTTAGCCTTCTTTGTATATCCAAAATCAAAAGCATTTTCACTTAAAAATTTAAATTCTTTCTTCCACTTTTTTCACTTCCTTATAAACTTTTCTTTCAAATTCATATTTTCTTTCATCCTTTCATCAAAAATCCATCTTTTCCTATTTTCACTTTTTAATGTATTCTTTCTTCCTGTCTTTTCAATAAACTTTTTTCCACTTCAATTCATTCTTTCTACTTAGCTCTTCTTTGTATTTTCATCCAAAATCAAATCCATCTTTCCTATTTTGGGTGTTTAATGTATTCTTTCTTCCACTTTCCTTATAAACTTTTCCCACTGTCAAATTCATACTTTCTACTTAGCTCTTCTTTGTATACTTTCATCCAAATTCAAAGCCATCTTTCCTATTTAGGTGTTTAATGTATTCTTTCTTCCACTGTATTTTCACTTCCTTATAAACTTTTCCACTGTCAAATTCATACTTTCTACTTAGCTCTTCTTTGTATTCTTTCATCCAAAGTCAAATCCATCTTTTTTATTTAGGTGTTTTAATGTATTCTTTCTTCCACTGTATTTTCACTTCCTTAAAACTTTTTCCACTGTCAAATCCCTGTTTACTACTTAGCTCTTTTTTGTATTCTTTCATCCAAAATCAAAGCCATCTTTCTTATTTAGGTGTTCCATGTATTCTTTCTTCCACTGTCTTTTCACTTCCTTATAATCTTTCTCGCACTCTCTAATCCCTACTTTCTACTTATCCATTATTGTATTCTTTCATCCAAAATCAAAGCCATCTTTCTTATTTAGGTGTTCCATGTATTCTTTCTTCCACTGTCTTTTCACTTCCTTATAATCTTTCCGCACTCTCTAATCCCTACTTTCTACTTATCCATTATTGTATTCTTTCATCCAAAATCAAAGCCATCTTTCTTATTTAGGTGTTCCATGTATTCTTTCTTCCACTGTCTTTTCACTTCCTTATAATCTTTCTCGCACTCTCTAATCCCTACTTTCTGCTTTCTTCTTTTCCACTATTCTTTCATCCAAAATCAAATTTCATCTTTCTTATTTAGGTGTTCCATGTATTCTTTCTTCCACTGTCTTTTCACTTCCTTATAAACTTTTTCCTGTCAAATTCCTACTTTCTACTTATCTCTTCTTTGTATTCTTTCATCCAAAACAGAAATCCATCTTTCCTATTTACATTCTTCCACTGTATTTTCTTCCTTATAAACTTTTTCCACTGTCAAATTCAAACTTTTGGTTAGCTCTTCTTTTGTTCTTTCATCCAAAATCAAATTTCTTTCCATTTAGGTCAAATGTATTCTTTTCTTCCACTGTATTTTCACTTCCTTATAAACTTTTTCCAAAATTCCCTACTTTCTAGGATAAACTCTTCTTTGTATTCTTTCATCCAAAATCAAATCCATCTTTCCTATTTAGGTGTTTAATGTATTCTTTCTTCCACTGTATTTTCACTTCCTTATAAACTTTTCCACTGTCAAAATTCATACTTTCTACTTAGCTCTTCTTTGTATTCTTTCATCCAAAATCAAATCCATCTTTCCTATTTGTTTAATAAATTGTTTAATGTATTCTTTCTTCCACTGTATTTTCACTTCCTTATAAACTTTTCCCACTGTCAAATTCCTACTTTCTACTTAGCTCTTCTTTGTATTCTTTTTCATCCAAATTCAAATCCATCTTTCCTATTTAGGTGTTTAATGTATTCTTTCTTCCACTGTATTTTTTTCTTCCTTATAAACTTTTTTTTAATGTCAAATTCATACTTTCTACTTAGCTCTTCTTTGTATTCTTTCATCCAAAATCAAATCCATCTTTCCTATTTAATGTTTTTTGTATTCTTTCTTCCACTGTATTTTCACTTCCTTATAAACTTTTTCCACTGTCAAATTCATACTTTCTACTTAGCTCTTCTTTGTATTCTTTCATCCAAAATCAAATCCATCTTTCTATATTTTGGTGTTTAATGTATTCTTTCTTCCACTGTATTTTCACTTCCTTATAAACTTTTCCACTGTCAAATTCCTACTTTCTACTTAGCTCTTCTTTGTATTCTTTCATCCAAAATCAAATCCATCTTTCCTATTTGGTGTTTTAATGTATTCTTTCTTCCACTGTATTTTCACTTCCTTATAAACTTTTTCCACTGTCAAATTCCTACTTTCTACTTAGCTCTTCTTTGTATTCTTTCATCCAAAGTCAAAAACCATCTTTTCTTTTTCCACTTATTTTCACTTCCTTATAAACTTTTTCAGGTGTTTTCTAGGATATTTCTTCTTTCTTCCACTCATCCAAATATTTTCACTTCCTTAATAAATTCTTTTTCCACTGTCAAATTCCTTTTTCCACTTCAAATTCATAAAGCTCTTCTTTGTATTCTTTCATCCAAAATCAAATCCATCTTTCCTATTTAATGTTTAATGTATTCTTTCTTCCACTGTATTTTCACTTCCTTATAAACTTTTTCCACTGTCAAATTCCTACTTTCTTTCTTAGCTCTTCTTTGTATTCTTTCATCCAAAATCAAATCCATCTTTCCTATTTAGGTGTTTAATGTATTCTTTCTTCCACTGTATTTTCACTTCCTTATAAACTTTTTCCACTGTCAAATTCAAGCTTTCTACTTAAACTTCTTTGTATTCTTTCATCCAAAGTCAAAAACCATCTTTCCTATTTAGGTTTTAATGTATTCTTTCTTCCACTGTATTTTCACTTCCTTATAAACTTTTTCACTGTCAAATTCCCTTTCTTCTTTGTATTCTTTCATCCAAATCTACATCTTTCCTATTTTCTTCTTTCTCCAACGTTTTTTATTCTTTTTCCATCAAATTCAAAATTCTTTCAAAATCCATCTTTCCTATTTAGGTGTTTTAATGTATTCTTTCTTCCACTGTATTTTCACTTCCTTATAAACTTTTTCCACTGTCAAATTCCTACTTTCTACTTAGCTCTTCTTTGTATTCTTTCATCCAAATCAAATCCATCTTTCCTATTTAGGTGTTTAATTATTCTTTCTTCCACTGTATTTTCACTTCAAAAACTTTTTCACTGTCAAATTCCCTTTTTTCTTCTTTGTATTAATTCAAATTCTTTCCTAATGTATTCTTTCTTCTTTTCCTTTTTTTCAATTTTTCCATCAATCCATCTTTCCTATTTTTTTTAATGTATTCTTTCTTCCAAGTTCTTTCCTTCGGTATTTAATTTTCTTTCTTCTGTCTTTCAATTTCTTATAAACTTTTTCCAGTCAATGTTTTTAGGATTTTTGTATTCTTTCATCCAAAGTCAAATCCATCTTTCCTATTTAGGTGTTTAATGTATTCTTTCTTCCACTGTATTTTCACTTCCTTATAAACTTTTTCCACTGTCAAATTCTACTTTCTACTTAGCTCTTCTTTGTATTCTTTCATCCAAAATCAAATCCATCTTTCCTATTTGGGTGTTTTTAATGTATTCTTTCTTCCACTGTATTTTCACTTCCTTATAAACTTTTCCACTGTCAAATTCATACTTTCTACTTAGCTCTTCTTTGTATTCTTTCATCCAAAATCAAAAACATCTTTCCTATTTAGGTGTTTAATGTATTCTTTCTTCCACTGTATTTTTTCACTTCCTTATAAACTTTTTCCACTGTCAAATTCATACTTTCTACTTAGCTCTTCTTTGTATTCTTTCATCCAAAGTCAAATCCATCTTTCATCCAAAATCAAGTCAATTTATTTTAATGTATTCTTTCTTCCACTGTTTTCTTCAGGATTTAAACTTTTTCCACTGTTTAATTTCTCTTCTTTTTGGATTCTTTCATCCAAAACAGAAAATGATCTTTCCTAATTTTTTCATTTTCTTTCTTCCACTGTATTTTCAAACTTTTTTTCCACTGTCAAATTCCTACTTTCTACTTAGCTCTTCTTTGTATTCTTTCATCCAAAATCAAATCCATCTTTCCTATTTAGGTGTTTAATGTATTCTTTCTTCCACTGTATTTTCACTTCCTTATAAACTTTTTCCACTGTCAAATTCCTACTTTCTAAAGCTCTTCTTTGTATTCTTTCATCCAAATCAAATCCATCTTTCCTATTTAGGTGTTTAATGTATTCTTTCTTCCACTGTATTTTCACTTCCTTATAAACTTTTTCCACTGTCAAATTCCTATTTTTCTACTTAGCTCTTCTTTGTATTCTTTCATCCAAAATCAAATCCATCTTTCCTATTTAGGTGTTTAATGTATTCTTTCTTCCACTGTATTTTCACTTCCTTATAAACTTTTTTCACTGTCAAATTCATACTTTCTACTAGCTCTTCTTTGTATTCTTTTTCATCCAAATTCAAATCCATCTTTCTTTTGTGTTTATTCTTTCTTCCACTGTCCTTCCTTATAAAATTTTTCAAAATTCCATCTTTCTTTGTCGGTCTTGTATTCTTTCATCCAAATGTCAAATATTTTCCTGGACTTTTTAATGTATTCTTTCTTCCACTGTATTTTCACTTCCTTATAAACTTTTTCCACTGTCAAATTCCTTACTTTCTGTGGCTCTTCTTTTGATATTCTTTCATCCAATCCAAATCCATCTTTTTTTGTTTAATACTTTTCATCCAAATTTTTCAATTCAAAAAGGATCTTTCCTATTTCTAGGTATTTTTCATCCAAAGTCAAAGCCATTCTTTTCTTTTGGGTGTTTAATGTATTCTTTCTTCCACTTCCTTTCACTTCCTTAAACTTTTTCCACTGTCAAATTCCTACTTTCTACTTAGCTCTTCTTTGTATTTTTTCATCCAAAAAATGATCCATCTTTCCTATTTTCAGTGTTTTAATGTATTCTTTCTTTCACTGTATTTTCACTTCCTTATAAACTTTTCCACTGTCAAATTCCTACTTTCTACTTAGCTCTTCTTTGTATACTTTCATCCCAATTCAAATCCATCTTTCCTATTTAGGTGTTTAATGTATTCTTTCTTCCACTGTTTTTTCACTTCCTTATAAACTTTTTCAAACTGTCAAATTCATACTTTCTAAAACTTAGCTCTTCTTTGTATTCTTTCATCCAAAATCAAATCCATCTTTCCTATTTGGTGTTTTAATGTATTCTTTCTTCCACTGTATTTTCTTCCTTATAAACTTTTCCACTGTCAAATTCATACTTTCTATTAACTTTTTTGTATTCTTTGTCCAAATTCAATCCATCTTTCCTATTTTTGTTTTAATATATTCTTTCTTCCACTGTATTTTCTTCCTTATAAACTTTTTCCACTGTCAAATTCCTACTTTCTTCTTCTTTGTATTCTTTCATCCAAAACAAATCCATCTTTCCTATTTTGGTGTTTTTTGTATTTTTCTTCCACTGTATTTTCACTTCCTTATAAACTTTTCCACTGTCAAATTCATACTTTCTTAATGTTCTTTGTATTCTTTCATCCAAAAATCCATCTTTCCTATTTTGGTTTTAATGTATTCTTTCTTCCACTGTATTTTTCACTTCCTTATAAACTTTTCCCACTGTCAAATTCCTACTTTCTACTTATTCTTCTTTGTCTTTTTCATCCAAAATCAAATCCATCTTTCCTATTTAGGTGTTTTAATGTATTCTTTCTTCCACTGTATTTTCACTTCCTTATAAACTTTTTCCACTGTCAAATTCCTTTTCTACTTAGCTCTTCTTTGTATTCTTTCATCCAAAATCAAATCCATCTTTCCTATTTTAGGTGTTTAATGTATTCTTTCTTCCACTGTATTTTCACTTCCTTATAAACTTTTTTTGTCAAAATTCAAACTTTCTACTTAGCTCTTCTTTGTATTCTTTCATCCAAAATCAAATCCATCTTTCCTATTTAGGTGTTTAATGTATTCTTTCTTCCACTGTATTTTCACTTCCTTATAAACTTTTTTCCACTGTCAAATTCCTACTTTCTGGTAGCTCTTCTTTGTATTCTTTCATCCAAAATCAAATCCATCTTTCTATTTAGGTGTTTAATGTATTCTTTCTTCCACTGTATTTCTTTCTTCCACTGTATTTTCACTTCCTTATAAACTTTTTCCACTGTCAAATTCATACTTTCTTTTAGCTCTTCTTTGTATTCTTTCATCCAAAATATAAACAAATTTCCATCTTTCCATCTTTCCTTTTTGGTGTTTAATGTATTCTTTCTTTGTAATGTCAAATTCTTTTTCTACTTCTCTTCTTTTGTATTCTTTCATCCAAAATCAAATCCATCTTTCTTTTTAGGTGTTTTAATGTTTCTTTCTTCCACTGTATTTTCAAATAAACTTTTTCCACTGTCAAATTCATACTTTCTCGCTCTTCTTTGTATTCTTTCATCCAAAATCAAATCCATCTTTCCTATTTAGGTGTTTAATGTATTCTTTCTTCCACTGTATTTTCACTTCCTTATAAACTTTTCACTGTCAAATTCATAAATCTTTCTCTTAGCTCTTCTTTGTATTCTTTCATCCAAAATCAAATCCATCTTTCCTATTTGTGTGTTTAATGTATTCTTTCTTCCACTGTATTTTCACTTCCTTATAAACTTTTTCCACTGTCAAATTCCTACTTTTCTACTTAGCTCTTCTTTGTTCTTCTTTCATCCAAAATCAAATCCATCTTTCCTATTTTTTCAGGTGTTTAATGTATTCTTTCTTCCAAAGCTGTATTTTTTTCATGTTTCCTTATAAACTTTTTTTTCCACTGTCAAATTCATACTTTCTACTTAGCTCTTCTTTGTATTCTTTCATCCAAAATTCAAATCCATCTTTCCTATTTAAATGTATTCTTTCTTCCACTGTATTTTCACTTCCTTATAAACTTTTTCCACTGTCAAATTCATACTTTCTCTTAGCTCTTCTTTGTATTCTTTCATCCAAAATCAAATCCATCTTTCCTATTTAGGTGTTTAATGTATTTTTCTTCCACTGTATTTTTCTTTAAACTTTTTCACAACTGTCAAATTCCTTTCTTTTAGCTCTTCTTTTATTCTTTCATCAAATTCAAACCATCTTTCCTATTTAGATACATTTAAACCGATTCTTTCTTCCACTTTCATTCCTTATAAAATTTTTCACTGTCTTCCTACTTTCTACTTAGCTCTTCTTTGTATTCTTTCATCCAAAGTCCCATCTTTCCTGTTTTTTCTGTTTAATGTTTTCACTTCCTTCCTAAAACTTTTTCAAACTGTCAAATTCCTACTTTCTACTTAGCTCTTCTTTGTATTCTTTCATCCAAAATCAAATCCATCTTTCCTATTTAGGTGTTTAATGTATTCTTTCTTCCACTGTATTTTTCACTTCCTTATAAACTTTTTCCACTGTCAAATTCCTACTTTCTAAACGTGCTCTTCTTTGTATTCTTTCATCCAAAAACTCATCAAATCCATCTTTCCTATTTAGGTGTTTAATGTATTCTTTCTTCCACTGTATTTTCACTTCCTTATAAACTTTCTTCCACTGTCAAATTCCTACTTTCTACTTAGCTCTTCTCTGTATTCTTTCATCCAAAGTCAAATCCATCTTTTCTATTTAGGTGTTTCATTTATTCTTTCTTCCACTGTTTTTCACTTCCTTATAAACTTTTCCCACTGTCAAATTCCCACTTTCTACTTAGCTCTTCTTTGTATTCTTTCATCCAAAAATCAAATCCATCTTTCCTATTTGGGTGTTTAATGTATTCTTTCTTCCACTGTATTTTCACTTCCTTATAAACTTTTTCCACTGTCAAATTCCTAATCTTCTTTGTTTCTTTCATCCAACAAATCCATCTTTCTTTTTATGTTTAATGTATTTTCTTCCACTCATTCCAAATAAACTTTTCCACTGTCAAATTCCATCTTTTTGTATTCTTTCATCCAAATTCAAATCCATTTTTCCTGTTTTTAATGTGTTTCTTTCTTTCCACTGTATTTTCACTTCCTTATAAACTTTTTGTGTGTCAAATTCATACTTTCTACTTAGCTCTTCTTTGTATTCTTTCATCCAAATCAAATCCATCTTTCCTATTTAGGTGTTTAATGTATTCTTTCTTCCACTGTATTTTCACTTCCTTATAAACTTTTCCACTGTCAAATTCATACTTTCTTCTTCTTTGTATTCTTTCATCCAAAGTCAAATCCATCTTTCCTATTTTTGTTTAATGTATTCTTTCTTCCAAATTTCACTTCCTTATAAAATTTTTTTTCCTTTCTATAAAGCTCTTCTTTGTATTCTTTCTTCCATCTTTCCTATTTTTCACTTATTCTTTCTTCCACTGTATTTTCACTTCCTTATAAACTTTTCCACTGTCAAATTCATACTTTCTACTTAGCTCTTCTTTGTATTCTTTCATCCAAAGTCAAATCCATCTTTCCTATTTAGGTGTTTAATGTATTCTTTCTTCCACTGTATTTTCACTTCCTTATAAACTTTTTCCACTGTCAAATTCATACTTTCTACTTAGCTCTTCTTTGTATTCTTTCATCCAAATTCAAAGCCATCTTTTTTATTTAGGTGTTTAATGTATTCTTTCTTCCACTGTATTTTCACTTCCTTATAAACTTTTTCCACTGTCAAATTCATACTTTCTACTTAGCTCTTCTTTGTATTCTTTCATCCAAAGAAATGTTTCCTATTTAGGTGTTTAATGTATTCTTTCTTCCACTGTATTTTCACTTCCTTATAAACTTTTCAGCCTGTCAAATTCCTACTTTCTAACTTCTTTGTATTCTTTCATCCAAAAGTCAAATCCATCTTTCCTATTTAGGTGTTTAATGTATTCTTTCTTCCACTGTATTTTCACTTCCTTATAAACTTTTTCCACTGTCAAATTCCTTTCTACTTAGCTTTCTTTGTATTCTTTCATCCAAAGCTCTTTCTTTTAGTGTTTAATTCTTTCATCCAAAACTTTTTCAAATTCATTTTCTTTCTCTTCTTTATTCTTTTCCAAACAAATCCATCTTCTTTTCTTCCAATGTATTTTTCTTCTTCCTTCCTTATAAACTTTTTTCTGTCACTTTCTACTTAATCTTCTTTGTAATTCCTCAAATCCATCTTTCTATTCTTTCTTCCCTTCTTTTCCTTATAAACTTTCATCCAAATTCAAATCCATCTTTCAAATTTCATCCAAAGTTTTTCCCTATTTATTCTTTCTTCCACTGTATTTTCACTTCCCTATAAACTTTTTCCACTGTCAAATTCCTACTTTCTGCTTAGCTCTTCTTTGTATACTTTCATCCAAAGTCAAATCCATCTTTCCTATTTAGGTGTTTAATGTATTCTTTCTTCCACTGTATTTTCACTTCCTTATAAACTTTTTCCTGTCAAATTCATACTTTTCTTTCTTCCACTTCCTTAGCTCTTCTTTGTATTCTTTCATCCAAATCAAATCCATCTTTCCTATTTGGGTGTTTAATGTATTCTTTCTTCCACTGTATTTTCACTTCCTTATAAACTTTTTCCACTGTCAAATTCAAACTTTCTACTTAGCTCTTCTTTGTATTCTTTCATCCAAAAACAAAATCCATCTTTCCTATTTTCAGGTGTTTAATGTATTCTTTCTTCCACTGTATTTTCACTTCCTTATAAACTTTTCCACTGTCAAATTCATACTTTCTACTTAGCTCTTCTTTGTATTCTTTCATCCAAAGTCAAATCCATCTTTCCTATTTTGGTGTTTTAATGTATTCTTTCTTCCACTGTTTTTCACTTCCTTATAAACTTTTTCCACTGTCAAATTCATACTTTCTAATTAGCTCTTCTTTGTATTCTTTCATCCAAAGTCAAATCCATCTTTCCTATTTAGTGTTTAATGTATTCTTTCTTCACTGTATTTTCACTTCCTTATAAACTTTTCCACTGTCAAATTCATACTTTCTGGTTAGCTCTTCTTTGTATTCTTTCATCCAAAGTCAAATCCATCTTTCCTATTTAGGTGTTTAATGTATTCTTTCTTCCACTGTATTTTCACTTCCTTATAAACTTTTCCACTGTCAAATTCCTACTTTCTGTTAGCTCTTCTTTTTCATTCTTTCATCCAAAGTCAAATCCATCTTTCCTATTTTGGTGTTTAATGTATTCTTTCTTCCACTGTATTTTCACTTCCTTATAAACTTTTCCACTGTCAAATTCATACTTTCTACTTAGCTCTTCTTTGTATTCTTTCATCCAAATCAAATCCATCTTTCCTATTTAGGTGTTTAATGTATTCTTTCTTCCACTGTATTTTCCTTATAAACTTTTCCTTCAAATTCATACTTTTTTAGCTCTTCTTTGTCATCCAAATCAAATCCATCTTTCTATTTAAACTTTCTTTGTATTTTTTCATCCAAAATCAAATTCATCTTTCTATTTAGCTCTTTTTTATTCTTTCATCCAAAGTCTTTCTTCCACTTTATTTTAATGATTCTTCTTCCACTGTATTTTCTTCTAAACTTTTCACTTCTGTAAAAATTCACTGTCAAATTCTTTCTTAGCTCTTCTTTGTATTCTTTTTCATCCAAACTCAAATCCATCTTTCCTATTTAGGTGTTTAATGTATTCTTTCTTCCACTAAATTTTCACTTCCTTATAAACTTTTTCCCACTGTCAAATTCATACTTTCTGGTTAGCTCTTCTTTGTATTCTTTCATCCAAAGTCAAATCCATCTTTCCTATTTAGGTGTTTAATGTATTCTTTCTTCCACTGTATTTTCACTTCCTTATAAACTTTTTCTTCCACTGTCACTGTCAAATTCCTACTTTCTAACGCTCTTCTTTGTATTCTTTCATCCAAAACTTTTCCACTGTCAAATTCCATCTTTCCTATTTCTTTGTTTAATCCAAATTCAAATTCTTTCTTCCACTTCTTCCACTGTATTTTCACTTCCTTATAAACTTTTTCCACTGTCAAATTCATACTTTCTACTTAGCTCTTCTTTGTATTCTTTCATCCACAGTCAAATCCATCTTTCCTATTTAGGTGTTTAATGTATTCTTTCTTCCACTGTATTTTCACTTCCTTATAAAAAATTCTTTTTCCACTCTTCTTTGTATTCAAATTCCATCTTTCCTATTTTTCTGTTTAATCCTATTCTTTTCTTCCACTTCTTTTTTTCATTCCTTTAAACTTTTCATCCAAAGTCAAATTCCTCCATCTCTTCTTTGTATTTTTCATCCAAAGTCAAATTCTTTCCTATTTAGGTGTTTAATGTATTCTTTCTTCCACTGTATTTTCACTTCCTTATAAACTTTTCCACTGTCAAATTCATACTTTCTACTTAGCTCTACTTTGTATACTTTCATCCAAAGTCAAATCCATCTTTCCTATTTGGTGTTTAATGTATTCTTTCTTCCACTGTATTTTTTCTACTTCCTTATAAACTTTTTTCAAATTCAAATTCTCACTGTCATACTTTCTCTTCTTTCAGCTCTTCTTTGTATTCTTTCATCCAAATTCAAATCCATCTTTCTATTTCTACTTAGTGTTTAATGTATTCTTTCTTCCACTGTATTTTCACTTCCTTCCATAAACTTTTTTTTCCACTGTCAAATTCATACTTTCTACTTAGCTCTTCTTTGTATTCTTTCATCCAAAAGTCAAATCCATCTTTCCTATTTAGGTGTTTAATGTATTCTTTCTTCCACTGTATTTTTTCACTTCCTTATAAACTTTTTCACTGTCAAATTCATACTTTCTACTTAGCTCTTCTTTGTATTCTTTCATCCAAAACTTTTCCACTGTCAAATCCATCTTTCCTATTTAGGTGTTTAATGTATTCTTTCTTCCACTGTATTTTCACTTCCTTATAAACTTTTTCCACTGTCAAATTCTTACTTTCTGGACTTAACTTCTTTGTATTCTTTCATCCAAAGTCAAAAAATTTCCTATTTAATTTAATGTATTCTTTCTTCCACTGTATTTTCACTTCCTTATAAACTTTTCCACTGTCAAATTCATACTTTCTACTTAGCTCTTCTTTGTATTCTTTCATCCAAAGTCAAATCCATCTTTCCTATTTAGGTGTTTAATGTATTCTTTCTTCCACTGTATTTTCACTTCCTTATAAACTTTTTCCACTGTCAAATTCATACTTTCTACTTAGCTCTTCTTTGTATTCTTTCATCCAAATTCAAATCCATCTTTCCTATTTAGGTGTTTAATGTATTCTTTCTTCCACTGTATTTTTACTTCCCTATAAACTTTTTCCACTGTCAAATTCCTACTTTCTACTTAGCTCTTCTTTGTATTCTTTCATCCAAAGTCAAATCCATCTTTCCTATTTAGGTGTTTAATGTATTCTTTCTTCCACTTTTTTTTTACTTCCCTATAAACTTTTTCCACTGTCAAATTCCTACTTTCTGCTTAGCTCTTCTTTGTATACTTTCATCCAAAGTCAAATCCATCTTTCCTATTTAGGTGTTTAATGTATTCTTTCTTCCACATTATTTTTACTTCCCTATAAACTTTTCCCACTGTCAAATTCCTACTTTCTACTTAGCTCTTCTTTGTATTCTTTCATCCAAAGTCAAATCCATCTTTCCTATTTAGGTGTTTAATGTATTCTTTCTTCCACTGTATTTTCACTTCCTTATAAACTTTTCCACTTCAAATTCTTTTCTACTTAGCTCTTCTTTGTATTCTTTTCATCCTTTCTTCCCACTGTAATAAACTTTTTTCCACTGTCAAATCCATCTTTCCTATTTAAATCCATGTTTTAATTAGTATTCTTTCTTCCACTGTATTTTCACTTCCTTATAAACTTTTTCCACTGTCAAATTCCTACTTTCTACTTAGCTCTTCTTTGTATTCTTTCATCCAAAGTCAAATCCATCTTTCCTATTTAGGTGTTTAATGTATTCTTTCTTCCACTGTATTTTCACTTCCTT